ACACGACAATTCAAGGTTGTTGTTAGTCTTATCCTTGTTTAATAGATGAGGACGCAACTATAGAGAACTTTGGTATCTTGCCCATGGTGGCACAGTGAAGCCCAAGGTCTTAACGTTGCACTGAACTCTTGTCACTTCCGTGTCTTGCATGTGCTCTTCTGCTCTGCTTGGAAGGCCCTTTCGACCTTGTCTGCCCAGCTTCAAAGGTCAGTGCAAGCATGGTCCCCTCTACATGTCTCCTGATGCCCCCTGCTGGTGCTCATCCCTCTAAATCAGAGGCTCTCAAGGTTGGCTGAAAGCTCTAAAAACTGGATGCCTAAATCCCAGTCCGAGATTCTGATGGCATTGGTCTGGGTGCAGCCTGGGCATCAGGACTTATAAAAGTTCCCCTGGTGATTCTAATGTGCAAGGCGAGGTCGAGACCCACTGCTCTATATTTCTGCAACGCTTTTACATGAGAGCACTTATCCTACTGCATCAGAACGAGCTGTTTATGTCTGTGCTAACAGCATTGTGAGCTCCTGCAATGGAATTTTCATAGTCACCTCGGGGGTTTTTTCAAAACTAAAGGTTTGTGGACCTCACTTATAAACTAAATCTTATCTATGGTCTGAGTCCTGGAAACTATTTGTCTCTTGAAAAATTCTGATGTGTAGCCAAATCTGGGACTCTCTCCTAGGTAAGAATTGGTTTTGTTTGTTTGTTTGTTTGTTTTCATTTGTACCCTCCAGGTTACAGCACGATGCCCAGCCCATGACAAACATTTGTGTAATAAATGAAATCTAGTGATGTGAATCGGGACTGGGTGTATGTATTCAATATTCAAGCTTGCTGAAGCAGCACCCAGAAAAGCTGCTTCCTGCAAAAGAATGCATTGAACACTGTGCAGCTTTTCAAATGTGTTTTTTAATCCACCAGTGCCCCCTACTGGCCTGAAAATGAATAGCTAAGACAATGGTCACAGTTTAAATATTTTAATTATACGTGCACATAACTAGGCAGGCACTGTACTTTTTCCACCAACACCTATACTATCAACTCCTTTGCCCTCCAGTCCTAGGTGATTCAAGCTGATAACTCCCAAACCAAGATCAATCCTACCATTTGTTCTGTTCCCACTCCCAGACTGCAATCGTGATAGATCTGCCTTAGCAGCTCTCAGCAAAGCCCTCAAAGCCTCTCTTTTTTGTTCCTTGGTCAGTGCCTCTTCCAAATTCCACTACGCTCATAAAATCACTCGCCCTTGAAAACACAAGAAACCATTCATCTACCAATTTGCCTTAGTTATTGCTATTCAAAGTATGATGGGTGACCAGCAGCATCTATATCATCCAGGAAGTTGTTAAAAAAAAATGGAGAGAATCTCAAGTCCCACCCTAGTTCTACTGAAGCAGAATCTGAATTCAAACAAGAGTTGTGGGCATATTAAAGTTTGAGAAGCACTGGTTCTCAACTAACCTAACACCGACATTTTATGACAAATATTTTTAAGTAACTCTTTTGCTATCTTGAAATAAAATTCATCACCCACTTACACACATTAAGTCCAAAACAAAGAGACCAGTAGATCAGTACCGACAGTAACATAATAGAGAACAAAAAAGGAAAGATTTATAAGACTTGCATGTCTGTACATAAATGTTCAACACAACTAAATTAAAGATGTGAGACTAACCCGAGTTTCCAAAAGGTACTCAAAGTGGGTGGTACCATCCAGATGAGAATGACTGGTCTACAATCGCTCCCATCCTTCTTCCATCTCACAGGAGGAAGAGATTCTCTCTTGTAAAAGCTCCCTCCCTACATTCCTCCCTAGGCCATAAACATTGCCAAATCTTGACTACTGCAACAAAACAACTCTAGAATCTTGACCCAACATGTCCCCCTAGTTAGCATATTCTCTCCTTCCCTTGACAGTCAAGCTTATTATTGTATTTATACATCTCAGTCACCAATCATATTAATTTAGCTTTCACTTCCATCAAAAACCTACATGTATCATGAAAACTTTCCAAATTGCCCAAATCAATTGATGCTTCTCCAAACTTAACTAACTCATCTTTCTGTAATAGACATTGATGGTTGCACATCCAGTCTCCACTCCTCCACTTTGTTCAAGAATTCATTTCTCTCTCATATGATTTGGGTAAAGTGACCCTACCCTGACCGATCCTGTGTCTAAGCCAGTCAGAGCATGGCATTCCCCCAGCAATTGCTATTGGGTCAGGAGCAAACACCTGATCTAAGTTGGTCCAACCAGACTGAAGAGCATAATCCAAGCATGAGAGTTTTGTCCTCTCTTTCTCTTGCTCTAGAAAGAGAGTTTTGTCCTCTTTCTCTTCAGAGCAAGAGAAAGAATGGGAAAACATGTGTTACAGGCAGTTATCTTGCAACCATAGGGGAACCAATCTTACTGTTGAAAGTCAAGAAAAGAGATGGGTCCTTGATGACATTGTTGACCCACGGGAGTCCACCTCTCCTCTGCACTTTATGAGATCATTTTCCTTACTATTTAAGCAATTGGGTTTTCCCAGCTGAAAGCATTCTAACACAACCTGTCCTTGAAACTTTCCTCCAGTGATTTTCTAAACATCGCTCTTTTGTGCTTTTACTTCGACTTTTCAAAAGTTGCCTCTCGAACATCTCTGGCCTCCTCTTCCTCTACCTACTCCTTACACTTTGCTGTTCTCCAAGGTTTTTTGCAATCTTTTCTATTCAAACTACATGTTTGAATCATTTCAGCTCATTCTACCTTTCCCTTGACACAGAACTGTTACTGGCACTTCCCCCAGTGGAGTACCAGTGCTGAAGTTTGCCAGCTCAGCTACCTCAGGAACTCCAACTTGTCTTTCAAAACTAAATTTAAATGTCTGCTCTGTGAAGCCTCCCCTGAAGTCCACAGGGGTGCCCGGACTTTTTTCATGCCATGGACCTCTTTGGCAGTCAGTCTGGTGAGCCCTATGGACCTTCTCAAAATAAGGCTTCTAATTGCCAAAAATACCAATTATATTGCAATAGTTATAAAAATATCTTTAAAACCCAAAATCTGATATAGTAATATGTGCTTCTTTATTAGCTTATTAAATAAAAAGATCTAACAGTGAATCCTATTACTACTGTAATTTTGTAGTGATGAGCATAAATGACATTTTGAGATCTGCAACATCTGTAATGAGACATGAAAACGTCTGTGACTTGCATTGGTTCTGTGACTTCTATTGGTGACAGGTACTCTTAATAATACTGATTTGTTGCCATAGTAACTTATTAAATTAATGGTTCCCAGTGAACCACATCTCATATTCACATTCTTGTGTAGTCCCCTACCATATTGACCCTGGGCTTATCCACCTGACTTGTTTTGACATCAGCAAATGTGATGCAAGCAGTTAAGTTTACACACTGGAATTTGCCCTCTTAGAACCAGGTAACCATGTGAGGAAGCCCAAGCTAAGCACATTGAGAAGTACCCAGCCCCCACACATGGGAGTAAGACCATCTCCTAGTGTTGCCACCAGCTGAACTGAGCCACTGGAGGATGCCGGCAGTACTGCCCAGCCAACCCACAGATGGTGAGCATAAATCATTGTTGTTTTAAGGTGCTGGCTTGCAATGGTTCGTTCTCCAGCAACAGATAACTGAGACAGTTCCTTATATTCACAACTGAAGGAATTGCTAGATTTCAATTGGAGATTGGTGAAAACAAAGATATTTTTTTCCGTCAGAGTTCAGGGACTCCCTGGATTCTACACAGACACTTTGAGGGGCTGAGGACCACAGGTTAAGAACCCCTTAGGCAGAGTAGATTCTGCTCTCCTTTTACTACCACAGTATACTGTTGATACCCATGGCAACTGATCACAGCATAGCCTCTGTCATTGCAACCCTAAAACTGAGCTGAGCTCCTAGCACATAATAGGTGTTCAACACAAATTAATCAAACGAATGCAAGTTGCTTATGGAATCTGTCGTCCTAATAAAACTGTGAGCTGCCTGAAAACAAAATGAAAGCAAATGCTTAGACGGTATTTCTATGTGCCAGAGCCCCTTTCAAGTGCTTACACATACTTATTTATTCTTTATAACAACCCTATAAGGTAGACGCTAGTCCCCCAATTTCACCAATGGGAAAACAGGCACAGAGAGGTTAAGTGACTTACCCAAGGTCACACAGCTAGAAGATAGCAATGCCATGATTGGAAGGCAAAATCCATCTTCTGATTTTATAGCCTGTACTAACGTGCCCAAAGCACATTGCAGGAGCTCAATACAACTTTTTAGTACAAATTTCAATTTCATTAGCATTATTTTATAAGTGCTATGCTTCTTGAAGACAATTTGTAGACTAGTTTCTGGTAGCTTGTGATTCGTTTTTCATGATAGAAACTATCATTTACTTTTTTCAAACAAACTCTTCACTGCACAATTTCAAAGAACACAAATTCATAAAATATAAAGGAGGTCTACTTGTCCATACTAAATAATGTTCACTGAGGAGGGGAGCAAAGTTCCAGCTTCCCCTCTCACCCAGCCACTCCCCAGCCACCCCCACATCCTACAGCAGCTCTCAGAGAGTGACCTTCCCCCATTCACAGACTACATTCTGAAACCTGACCCTGCCAGGCAGCCAAAGCCTAACCCTGCAGCGCTCGAAGCTGGCCTCACCCTACCATCAAAAGCAAGCAAGAGGGCACCAGCAGAGGAGGGGGTGGGTACTTTGGGGGAGGAGTTCTTTAGTTTTTCAAAGTGTTTTATTCACGAGAGCACGCCCCAAAGGGCCCCACCCACCCAACCCCGAGTCTCACGCCTCCGCCCGGCAGCCGCTGGCTTCAAGCGGACAGGTGAATGAACCGCAGAGCCGGGACGCAGCCGGCCCGGAGGCAGGAAAAACCTCCGGGCAAGCCGGCCCTGGCCCCCAGAGAGGCCCACGAGAGCGTGGGGAGGGTTCCGGGAGGCCGGGAGGGGGCGGTGACAGCTGTGACCCGGCTCCACGTTCTCACCTTGAACATGTCGCTGGCATCGGCGGCTCTGGCAGGGTCACCGCAGTCTAGGCCCCGCCTACTACAGAGAGGCCGCTACGGCGGCCGGATGGGGCCTGATTCCTCCGCGCGCAAGTGGGCCGCGGGGCGGGTGGTAGTGGTGCAGCCAATTCAATTCTGTGAAGACTTAGTTCGGAAGCCGGGGGCTGGGAACGACGTCACTAAGCCGCAGCGCGTAGCGCCTCACGCCTCAGATGAACTCAAGCCCCGCCTCCCAGAAGCTCCGCCCCTGCGCCGGCGGTTGCTAGGCGGCCAAAAAGCGCCAGCTCCGTGTAGGAGGCACATGGGGGCGCGAATAGGGAGGCTCCCCGCGCCGCCAGGCGCTGAGAATCGCCTGTCGCCGCGGTGATTGGGCGTCCAGCGGCGTGGGCTGGGAATCCTGTGCGCGGAGGCTGCCGGACGGGGGCGCTCGGTGGGACTCAGGCGGCTTCGAAAGCCTCGCAGGCGGAAGTCGCTGACCTCGGGGCCCTGGATTTACTTCACAAAAGGTTTTCAGATTTTTTTTTTTTTACCGTGGGCCGGACGGTTTTAAATTTAAACTGATTTGCCACGTCTTTTAGTCTCGAAAGGCACTGACCTTTTTTTCCCCCCTTGCCGGGAATCAAATGTTTGTCCCCTAATACTGGTAGAAATAAGTAATAATGACAATAATTATCTTATTAACAAGAATAATAAGCTCTAACACAGCGTTTGCGATGTGCCTAGCTCTGTTCTAACCTCCTTACACATATCTAATCTTTCCAATAACCTAAGTAGGTGGACAGGATTATAACTCCCAAACAGATGAGGAAATTGAGGCACAGAGAAGTAATTTGTACAAGGCCACACAGATGGGAAGTAGGAAGCTAGGATTCAAACCTAGGTAGTCCACCTTTAAAGCCTGTGACTCGCGTAATCAATCGTTATAATGTCTGCTAATGGCAATGTGTTTCGTATTTTATTCTGTATTTCGCGTCCTAACCCCATGGAAAGTACAACCCCATCCAGGGGGGCATCCGGAAGATTTGGGGATTTGTGTGGTGGTATGTCACTGCCCTCCACCAAAGACTAGTAGGAGCACCGCTGTAGTGGAATAAATTGGATTTATTTCTCATTGCTGCAGGGAAAATGCACACCTTGGTAAACATGGGGCTTCTCATAAGAGGGTGTTAGAAAGCTTTATTATAGGATTTGGGCTTTGGTTGGGTGATTTGGGGGCGAGTTCAAGGAAGCATGGCTTTGCCGTTAGGAAGCCAGAGTAACACCAAAGCCCAGCTGTGAGTGCCAGGCGGACTCTGGGATGCTAAGGACTGCTTTTCTCCTTCTCAAGTGAATCATATATTCCAAACCATCCCCATCCACATCCTTAAGGAAAAATATTGCAAAGACTCTGAAGGCTCTGCATTAGTAATGGAACGTCATATGTATATAAAAATGTGAAGTATTCCAATAAATTAAGGCAGGAATTCTTAATTCAGGAGGCACGTGAACTTGGATGGAGAAAAAATTATTTTCACTAACCTCTAACTGAACTTTAGCATTTCCATTATAGTGTAGGAAATAAACCACAGTGATATCAGCAGTACCTGTGACTTTGTCATCAATAGAAAACACAGATATTTTCATATCATGTTACAATCAGGGCAGATTTCTTGAAATATTTCTACTCATTACTACTTGACAAATACAGTAGTTATTAGAGCTCTAATGCATAAAGAAAGCACCTATTTCTATAATTTTGTTTTCGTAAATACTGTGACAGTGATTTCAATGTAATTGAAGTTCTTTGTAATCCTATATATTTTATGTTATTTATTTTTAAAACAAAGTTCTTGGGAGGAGTCTGTCCATAGGGGTCCATGACACCAAAAAAAAAGATAAAGAGCTTCTGGTTTAGTATAAGAAACTAAGTAATGACTAAGAATTTGATAACTGCATTTAAATTGAAGTCATGCATCAAAGGATAGAAAATCAGAGATGGAATCAGATCATTTAGTACGCACCCTCTCACTTTACCAAGGCGGGAACTGAGCTACTGAGAGGTTAAGGGATTTGCCCAAAGGCTCACAGCTATTCCGTGGTAAAAGCAGGGTGGAAAATCTTTAGACAAGCATGTAAAAACCCTCCATTCTGCTAGGCATTGGGGATTCCATAGTTAGTAAGATGCCTCCTGTCCTCAATGAGCTTGTGACAGCCAAGAAAACAAATTATGATGTAATATGAGAAGTACTGTAAAAGAAAAACATACACAGTATTATGGGACCTTGAAGACAGGAGTGAGCAGTTCTGTGAAAAAAAGGTGGAAAGCTTCAGAGAAGAGGCATCAATTAGCTGGGGTCTTCAAGGATGAATTGATATTTGCTGGTGGCAGGAAAGTCATTCCAGTAGAGGAGAGGACATGGCATGATCAGAGGCCCAGAGTTCTAAAACATTGATTTTAGCAAGAAATTCTTATTCTCACAGTGTAGAGAGAAATGCCAATGAAAGTTGGTATTTTGAGATTTGAAAGAGAATGGAACTAGATTGTGAAAAGACTTGAATAGCCATTCTAAGGAGTCTGGACTTCACCTTGGAAGAAGTGAGGTGTCCCTGAAAGATTTTAAGTTGGGGAGTGATAAGGTTGGATTACTGGTCTAAAAAGTTAACTCCAGCTGCAGTCTGGAGGATGAATGGGACACCGAAGAGCCTGGAGACAGGGAGACCAGTTAGAAGGCTATGGATAGATCCCCTTGTCTTTCCTGTATTCCTTATAATATTTTTAGTACACAAAGACTGCAAACATTAAGAGATCCACGAGGCCTTCTTTTTTTAGGGGTTCTGGAATTAGTGCAGCAATCATGACACTTGAGTCTCATCTAAACAGTGTGACAATATAGATTATGACCTCAAATGCTTAACTTATATACTTTCAGAGTACTTAATTGTAAGGAAAATGAATCGTTCTTCAAAGCCACCAGTTACTGGTGTTCGAAAATCAGATAATCCACGCGTGGGAAAAGGCCGCAAAGCACCTTTGTCAAATACTGGAAAGACAAAAGTACGACCACCGTAAGTAGCCATCTATCACGTTGTATCACTTTCCACACTGAACCATTTCCATACAGTACTGACCCAGCTAACATCAACCACTTCTTAGTCTGTAAATTGAAGGAGTTTTTTGTGTGCGTTTTAAAATTATTTTTGTATTGAATAATTATTATAATTATAGTATTTCATAATTTACAGAGCATATTAACACACATCTCTTTGATCTTGACACAACTCTATGAAGCAGTCTTATTATTACATTTTTATAAGTGAGGAAGCAGCAACTGGGAGAGGTAAGTGGTTTTCAGAAGGTTAAACAGCTAATAAATGTCATCGGTACAGATTCAAAGGTTTGTTTCCATACTCCAGGGCTTTTCTACTCTACATCTTGTAGTCTGCATTTTGCCAGCCACCAGTGACATTATACAGGAGTACCTCTCTTTGCATGTAGCCCCGTGAGGGATAATGACAGGTCGAGGAGTTTGGGAGAGGGGGAACCCTACAATCTGCCAGTGCTGGGACATGATCAAAAGTAAAAATAATTTTCTAGCCTGACTGAGATGAACCTGGTTCAAGCAAAGACCAGAGAAGGGAGTTTCTTTTTCTAAGAAACTGCTCCGAGAAAAGAATTGGGCGTGCTGTAACTTCTACGATTCCACATTCTGTTTTCTTAGCACTTGAACTGGTTGGTCAGTATTTTTAAGAATTAACTACAACAGAATCATTTTAGGTCATGGATGTTTTCAGAAAGCAAGTTTGTATCCTGACATTTTATTTATAATATATATGTCCCTTTCGATGATAAGGTTTTAGCCAGGATGGTTTTTTAATCTCAAGGGAAATATTCTCAAGTATTTCATATCTTCATCCTAACTAGATTGTGCAAATGACCAGTTCCAATGACCACATCCAAATGTTCCTCATTATGTCAGTCTTGGGGGTGGGGAGGTTCAGGAGGAGGAAGCAAAAATTCAGAGTTCCCCAAGATTTTAGGAAAATGAAAACAGCTTCACAAATCTTAACCTTTTTTTTTCTCTCTCAGCACTTATAAAGATATTTCAGCTCTAAAAATACAGAGAGCTTGGCTGTCTCATATGGACAAAACAGTATTTCGACTCCTAAAGCTCACAATTTGTGCAATGGTATGTATTTTGCTTTTTGTTTTTTCTACAGATTTAATTACTTATCAAGCTAAAAGATTTGTTAAGTAAAGACAGAATATATAACCTTTTTTCCTCTTCTATCTTAATCTAATATTATTGCATGGGGTTCTGGGATTGCTTCTTTGATTAGCCCTAAATGAATATTTCTGGATTTATTTTTAACATAGGTAACTATTTTTTTTTTGAAACTGATATGATCTTTTTAAAAATTCAGTTTCTTATTTGAAGATGTGAGGCAGTGATCTTCCAACAATAAAAATCTCTGATTTAAAAATACCCTTACCTTCCACCCAGCAATTTCACTTCTAGGAATCTATTCTATAATATCTGTAAAATTTCATTGCAGTATTGTTTGTAACAGCAAAGAAAGTAAACCATATAATGCCCATCAATAGGATGCTGCTTAAATAAGGGTTGGTGCTTTCATAATGTTAAACTTTGAAGCCCCACATATGATTCTGCAGAAGATAGCTGAGATATTGTGTTAGTGAAAGAGGCAAGTGCAGAACAGTATGAATAATATGGTCCTATTTGAGTAAAAAGAAAAACACTTGTCTCCCATTCCCCCAAAAAAACAACTCTGGCAACCCTAGCAGACTATTCATTCTTCCTTCATATACTACCAAATATTCTCCTAATAAAACCACCCCTGATGATAATAGCCTATAATTAGTAATAGTCCCATTAAGGGAATTTTAGCAGCTCAGAAAAATCATAAAGTCTAAGCAATGTGTACATTTCTTCACCATCTGACCCACAAAACCATTTCCGATGTTACCGAAAGCAGACTACCTCAGAGAAAACCCACCCAGGTAAGCCTGTGACATTGCAGGTCCATCGTCCATGATCTTCACATACGGAACTTGTGTTCAAGTATCATAATATTGGCTTTGCCATAATTTTAGATTCTTTTAGTAACAGAAAGAAGCAAATTCTTTTTTCATCTGTTACCCTAATGCTTCAAGTTACTACCTTACATTTATAAACGCTTTGTCATTTTAAAAGCCCTTTGGCATACATTTGTATGTGATTATGATAGGTATAAAGGTTGGGCAGGTTTATAGTGGGGGAAAGTGGGGCCTTTAGAATCAAACAAATCTAAGTTTGAATCCTGGCTTCCCTAGTTACTACCTGTATGCCTTTGAATAAATTGACTCCCAAACCCTCAGCCTGCTCATTTGTAAAATGGGAATGATAATATTCAAATAATATTGCTGAATTGTAAAGGTTAGATGAGGTTATGTGTATAAGGCACCTAAGGTATATAAAAGGTGCTTGAAAGGTCGCATCAGTACTCTTATCATCCTCATTTTACATTGATTCATTCAGCATCAAATACTTGTTAAGCACCTGCTGTGTTCCAGGCACTGTACTAGATGCTAGGAATGCAGTAGTAAAGAAAAAAGACACTGCCCCTATCTTCATGAAGCTTACAGTCTAGTTGGAGACACAAACGAGTTTATAGT